TACAGAGAGAGACAGAGCATGAACGGGGGAGGGGCAGAGAGAGAGGGAGACACAGAATCGGAGACAGGCTCCAGGCTCTGAGCGGTCAGCACAGAGCCCGACGCGGGGCTCGAACTCACGGAGTGTGGGATCGTGACCTGAGCCGAAGTCGGCCGCTTAACCGACTGAGCCACCCAGGCGCCCCTATGCTGGGAGATTTTTGATTCCCAGTTCAACTTTCATTCTTGTTATTGGTCTAAGATGATTTCCTACTTCTTGCATTCAAGATTCATCATTCAATCTTGTGCATTTTTAGGAATTATCTTTTTTTATTTTTTTAATTTTGCTTATGGTAATCTGTTCGCACAGTCTATATCTCTGTAGTTATCTGTTGTGATATTTTCTCTTCCATTTCTCATTTTGGTTTTTGAGTGTTCTCTTTTTTTTTTTCTTAATGTTAAAGCATTGCCAATTTCATTTATTTTTTTAGAAAAATTGCTCATTACTTTCAGTGTTCTGTTGTTTATTCTGGTCTCTATTTTATTTATTTCTGATTTTTCTTTGTTATTTCCTTCTTTCACTAAATTTCAGCTAAGTTTCTTCTTTTACTAGTTCCTTGGGGTATAATATTAAGTTGTTTATTTGAAATTTTTAAAAAATTAATTAATTTATTTTGAGAGAGAGGGAGAGAGGCACAGTGTGAGTGGGGGAAGGGTACAGAGAGAGGGAGAGAGAGGTAGAGAGAGAATCCCAAGCAGGCTTCACACGGTCAGCACAGAGACCAATGCAGGGTGCAAACTCATGAACCATGAGATCATGACCTGAGCCGAAATCAAGGATTTGGTGCTTAACCTACTGAGCCACCCAGGTGTCCCTGAACTTTTTTCCTTAATACAAGCATTTATAGCATAAGTTACATTCTAACATCTGTTTTTGCAACCCATAGGTTCTGGAATATTGTATTTTCTTTTTCTCATGTTTTGAGGTATATTTTGATTTGCTGTTTGATTTCCTATTTGGCCCAATGCCTGTGCAGTAGTGTGTTGTTTAATATTTACATATTAACTATTTAATATTTTAAAAAGTTCAAAAAATATACAAATATCAAACTCATATTTTAAGTATTAGTACTTAATGACTAATTTTGCATAAAATACATTATCAAATGGCCAGTTTGGTAGACTTAATTTTAATAAGTTTGAAAATCAGACTTGGTTAATGGGGGACAATGATTAGCACTTACTCTCTTTCTTTCCATAAAACCTTTTGGAACTCATCCAGATGTACCTGCAAAGCTGAAATTTCAGGCACTTTATTCTCCAAAGGCAGGTTTATTGCTTGTGGTCTTAATGCAGATTTCAGTGTGCTGTTTTCAGAAACAGTCCTTAATGAATCAGGACAGTTAAGATTGAGTTTCGTCTCTTCATTTAATTTTAACTGGTCAATATTCAAACCTTCTTCCTGAAAAAAAAAATAAAGCAGTTATTGTTAAATTTTTACATCTAGTGTAGAAAAATCATAAAGAAAACATAGTTTTGGAAGGAAACAAATCTTATGATTCAGCATCAAATTCCTCTTTTCATTTCTTTATCAGTCTCTAAAGAGGTATACGACTGAACTTTAACTAGCATTCCTCAAGCTTTCTTTTTCCCTTCTATGTTCTACCATCTGATAAAATATATTTCAGTCTTTGCAAATTGTTCATTTACAATGTAACCTAGGTTACATCTACCATAAATCCCATATATCACAGAAAGGCTTAAAAGTTTAGATAGAACTATAGATGAGCAAGATATGTTTTATATTTTTAGAGATGGAATTAAATAGAAAGGGGTAACAATATAAACTGATGCTATTTAAGGAGATAAAATGAATAACTCAGGTTTCTGGAAAACCACAACCAATGAGTGTGTCATTTTCCTTTTCCTCTCCATTACTGTATAGGGCATTCAAATGTGCACATAATCTCTGGTTCCTCTGTGGGTGTTTTTCTTACCTTACTATCCGGGTTCTCCTTTGTAGGAAATTCTCTTTTTACCGGACAACCTCTGATAGACTCCCACGTTTGTGAACCAAGGTGAAATGGGTCTCTTTGTGCAGAAGGCACTTCCATGAAAGTAGGATGCTTCAGGTCTTGGGTAGTTTCTAATACCTCCTTTTGATGTGGCAAACTCTGCTTCTTCTTCAGTGCACTCAATTCTTTCATCGTCATCTCCAATTTTATTCTGAGCTGTCTTCCTTCCTCCCTGGCGCTGTTCCTTTCGGCCCGAACCTTGCTCCATTTTTCTCTCCAATTGGCAGTGCAGTCTGACCACCACCTCATGGTCTTCTCCATCTGGGCAGCTCTGGCCTTGACTTCTTCAAGTTCCCTCAGGCGAAGCTCTTCGCAAATATTCCACTCACTGGTGTTACAGGAGTGAGTGCAGAAGTTGTGAGCGGCACGTGATTGCAGTCCCTGATGTGGCAAACAGGAAGGACAAGTGTCCTTGGGGGATGAAGCAGGTGCTAACATGTCACAAGGTGGTTTAACTGATGGCTCCCGCATCTGGAAGATGTGTGTTTCCTCAATTAACCGATGAATGGAATCTAAATTCATATTTATCTTTTCAGGTCTAAGAGAAGACAGAAAACATAATTAACATTTGAATTGCCCTCGCAATTATAAGAGCAAGATGGACATTTAAAAAAGAAAGCTGATGGGCGCCTAGGTGGCTCAGTCAGTTGAGCGTCTGACTTCAGCTCAGGTCATGATCTCACGGTTCGTGAGTTAGAGCCCCGCGTTGGGTTCTGTGCTGACAGCTCAGAGCCTGGAGCCTGCTTTGGATTCTGTGTCTTCCTCTCTCTCTGCCCGTCCCCTATTCAAGGTCTGTCTCTCTCTGTCTCTCAATAATAAATAAATGGTAAAATAAAAAATTAAAAAAGAAAGCTGATGAAAACAATGTATCTTTCAATATTGCAGATTTTTCTTTCCACTATAACTAAAAATATAGAGCTAATGCATTTATAATTAGCCTGAAAGAAACAGAAAATGCTCATATGAAATATTGCCAAGTGAACACAAATAAAAATATAAAGAGCAATTGAGGATAGCACATGACATGAATAATTCATTTTAAGAAATCCAGTTCTTTACAGGTAATATTTACTATAACACAGATTGTCCATTAACAACTCAGTGATCCTCTTTTCTGTGCTAATTTAGCCACAACCTGCTTAAGTGGAAGGTGGAATCTATGATCTCCAGGAGGAGAAGCCCAGGGGCTAAATATTCTAATGTGTGTTCTAATCCCAGAGGCTAAATCATGATTGGTCTAACTCTTCCATGATGGAATTCGGAAGAGTCTCATTACCATCTCATTGACCATTCACTAGTCTCAAGACAGGATAGGACCTGCTTCTAGCTGAGATTTGAAGGGAAGTCGGCCAGGGAAGTTTCCCATCTAAAAAACATGAAAAAATCAGTTTGAGAAACTCTTTTCTTCTGCTTTCTTCCCGCCAAAACAAGGACATGATTCTGGAAGAAGGCAAGTGTCACAGCCACCTTACAACATTTAAATCGGTGGAACAGAGATGAAAAGAGCTTGATTTAGTGACTGAGCTATGCCATGAAATCTAGAATGCACACCTCTCGTTTTCTTGCCATGTGAGAATAATCACCTGACTTTACTTAAGCTGTGATTGTTGAGTTTCTGTCACTTGCAGTCAAAATGACATGAGACTGATAGATGAACCACTTTCACCCTATGGTTAATATAATGATAAATTCTACACAAATACTATGAATAAGACATGGGGTTTATCCTCAAAGATTTTGTAGTTCAGTGGGCAATACAAGCACATAAAAATAAAAATACGTATTCACACTAATTATTCAATCAATCTTTCTTCAGTACATACTATGTGTCATATCAGTGTTAGGTTGCTACCGTATATAGGAGATACTCAGAAGTCTTGAACTGTCTCCTAGAAATGAAGACGCCTCACAGCACAGATAACATTGAACAGTCTTAAAAACATCAAAGCTTTAGAAAGAAATTACAAACAGCTTGCCATATAATAACAAACGCAAATTAACTGGTAAGAGTAGACCCTCTTATCTGTATGTACGCCCATTACTTTATTCAATATAGCAACATAGCTATATTGATGACATAGTGAATAGAACCTTTTCTTTAAAATAAATGCTTAAAACATGCAGCTTAATCTACAAATTAATAAAGGTCTGTGGTTGTATAAGATTACCGACTTTTATTATCAAGTAAGATTTATTGTTATAAGTGACATTTAATGCACATGACATTAATTCCTCTCATTTTTTATTTGCTTTTTTATATAGTTACAGATCATAAACTATCTCCTTATGAACCATCCATTTAATCAATCGAAGGGGTTTCATTATACTAACAACTTACAAAATAAGTCTTTATTTACTGAAGAAAAAGCTATTATAATATTAAATATATATCCTTTTCAGTTGCAAGAAAAATACACATTTTAACAAGTATTCTGTAGAGGTGCCAAAACAATTCACTCCTTGTTATAATACTTACAATAATATAGATTCATGGTTGTAATTATTTTTGTTAGCATTGGTATATGTCCAATCACATTTGAGTTAGTGCTGATTTGGAGAAACTGTTCCCTACATTTACTGTAATTCAGAGGGCAATGATAATATAGCTCACCAAATTTCTTAGACCACTGGTAAACCAAGACCAATTTAAAAAAAAAAAGAAAATAAAAAAGGAATTCTTAGTTAGAAGCACACAAATATTTTATATATATGTTCACATATCATATGGATATTCATCTCCATTATTCCCTATTTAATGATACTTCTTTTGGCTGGGATTCCAAAGTGAAGACAGAAAATTTATTTCAGCATATTAAACTTAAATTTATCCTTGCCATTTTTCAAAATCAATCAGTATCATAAAATTGTAATGTCTTTAAAAATGTCTCATTAACTTTTATTTCACTAGTGTTTTGAAGACTCTATAATTGGATTCTGGTATGTGGAGACCTTGCCTACCAATTAACTATGTATTTTTTCACATCTGACTAAACAAAATTGAGTTGGGCTTAATCATTCAGTCCTTGAACTTGAATAGTTTTTCCTGTTCTAAAGTGTTTCTCAAGCAACTGTAAATGGGGATATTGAATCCTTATGTGTATCTAGTTAAGCATTCATTTTCCCTATATGTATGTGCATCTGTATGTATGCATGTTTTACTCCAATGACCCTGAAAGGATTTGTCAGCGGTTGTAGCACAAAGCCTTTGATGCGTGAGAAAATATTTTAATGCTATTGACTCTGGTTTCTTACACTAAATTTTGCATTGTCCTTACCACAAAAAAGGAGGGAGGAGGCACAGGGAAACTCTTGGAGGTAACAGACAGGTTTATTACTTTGATTATTGGTGATGGGTTCACAGATACATGCATATGTTCAAACTCATCAAATTATGTATATGTGTGTGTATATATATATATATATATATATGTAATATGTGCAATATTTTGTATTAACTATAGCTCAATCAAGCTGTTAAAAATGTTCATTTAATCAGGCTACCATAATGACTACAAGTATTTTTAAGGTACTAAATAACTAAATAAATGAAATATGATGGGTCTACAATGTATATATATTGCTACTAAACATTATCTCTCACTAAAGAGACATTTAATGTATAAGACATTGGGCTCCATCCAGACTCTATTGATTCAAGCTCTGATTCTCCCACTTTCTACATGGATGATCTTGGACAAATTATATAAATTGCCTTTGACTCATTATCCTTACCTGTAAGGGGAGACAGAAATATCATGTATCTCAGTTCTGTTGACTGTTAAATGGAAAAATGCAGGCTGGCTGACCCATCTGTCTCTTAGGCAAGGGGACAGTTTTCCTCAGTGCTATCCAAGTCACTAATATGTCACTCTGGACATGTAACATTGTTTTTTTCAGCTTCTTTTCTCTCTTTTGAAAGAGAGACAGCATACTCAAAAAACAGGGATATCAACAGATAAATAAGATTTATCAGGGTGCCTGGGTGGTTCAGTTGGTTAAGCATCTGACTTCAGCTCAGATCATGATCTCACGGGTCGTGAGTTCCAGCCCCGCGCTAGGCTCTGTGCTCCAATATCTCCCATTAAATCACAGCACAGTTAGTCAAGTGATCCCTGACATTGTGCTTTGAGTGAATTTAACCTCCTCATAACTTAAAGGAACTGCAAGTTTGGGGCTTCTGCATCCCTGTTGCCCCTTTTCTGTCATGCTGCGTCCACGCTCCATGATTTCAGCCACCCTGGCGTGTCTGTCCCCTGCACAAACCTCAACTTTCTCCTTTGTGCAATCAGATTGTGCTGCCAACCTGGAACCTTGTTAATAAGCAAAAGCAATAAATCTAACGATTACAAATTATAACTCTCTCTGAAAGGAATAAACGGTGTGTTATGATTCAACACATACCTATATACTCAAAGAAGTCTCTCTGAAGTGACCGACATCTTATGTATTATCTGAAGAATGAGGTGGACCAAAAATAAAAGCATTTTTGACAGAAGTTACATTATCAGGGCATTTTTGCCTGATCAAGGGATTTTGGCTTTATTGTTTATACTTATTGCTTTCCATTAACTTATAGGAAATGAATTCTAAATGAAACCCTTCTTGGATTTTTTTTTTCCCCTAAGAAGCATAAGACAACTAATGCATACACAATAATGTTAATAAAAGCCATAAGCAGGGGTGCCTGGGTGGCTCAGCTGGTTAAGAGTCTGACTCTTGATTTTGATTCAGGTCATGATGTCACGGTTTGTGAGTTCGAGCCCTGCATCAGGCTCTGTGATGATAGTGAAGAGCCTGTTTGGGATTCTCTCTCTCTCTCTCTCTCTCTCTCTCTCCCTTTCTCAAAATAAATAAATAAACTTAAGAAAAGCCATAAGAAAAGAGTAAATACATTAATACAGATTCAAAATATAATGTTAAGAACAGTTGTTACTTTAGATACGATGCTATACACTCTGATAAAAAGTGAAAAAGAAAAATCAGTTTTTAATATTCAGGAAAGTAAAACACCATATTGTATTTTAAAATGTGGCCTGTCAAACATGCACAAGTGATTAGTATTAAAAATCTGTATTTTGAATGTGCCTAAAGCAGAAAAAATTAAGATATTTTTTAGGATAGTTTTGCAAGAGAACACTAAATATGAAATGTGAGACAGCGGGTGTAGGCAGTAAGGTAATGGCCAGATTATACCACTTCAACAGAGCTCAAGTTCTTTATATTTTAAAAATCCATGCACTGTGACAAATTACACAGGCAGTTATAGTCTATATTTGTTGATGTTAATGTGAGCTTTTGGAGCCATAGACAGGCAGGAAATACTTGCACAAAAAAGGCAACTAAATAATATAGAATAAATTCGTACATTATTTATAGCTTGGAAATTTATTTTCTAAAAGCATTGTAGTATAAGCATAAATGTAAAAATTTTAAAATACACATACTTAGGGGCTCCTGGGTGGCTCAGCTGGTTAAGCATCCAGCTTCAGCTTAGGTCATGAGCCTGGAACCTGTTTCAGATT